AGGTTTTAACCAACTTCTCAAAACAACCCTTAAAAATTAAAATGTCACTAAAAAAATTATGGGCAAATTATATTAATGGTCCCTATAGTTTGGGGTTTATATCACTTTGGTCACTAACTTTTCAATTGTGACACATTTAATCATGAATTTTGAATCTTATTCCAAATAAAGACAATTGAAGATACCATTACTTAATTTTAAGGGTAAAATCATCAATTTGATAAAATATAAACTAATTTGATAAAAATAAATGTGAATTTTTTTTTGAATTTTTAAAAGTTATTTCTATCCATTAAAAATAAAATTATGTAAAATTGATAAATCTCTTAGACATTTATTTATTTCTTTCTTTATCAAATTAATTTTTATTGTGTGTCTGAATAATGATCATGTAATGGGTGATTGTTTTTATTTTCATTAAATTAGTTTCTATTTTTTCAAAAGTTAAATATGACGACAACTTTGATATCATTATTAAATCAAAAAATCCAAAACTAAAAAGATTTCATATATTAAATATGTGGATTACATATTAAAATCCTAACAACCACCCATTATATGATTATCATCCAAACACATAATAAAAATTAATTTGGTAAAAATAAATAAATATCTAAAAGATTTATCAGTTTTTCATAATTTTATATTTGGTTTGTAGAAATAATTTTAAAAATTAAAAAATATTTTTTTGACATTTATTTTTATCAAATTAGTTTATATTTTATTAAATTAACAAATTTTATCCTTGAAATTAAGCAAGGGTATCTTCAATTGTCCTTATTTGGAACAAGATTCAAAATTTAGGATCAAATATATCACAATTAAAAAGTCAGGGACCAAAGTGACACGAGTCCCAAACTGTAGGGACTGTTAATGTAATTCACTCAAAAATTAAAAATCCAACAACCTATACAAAAAGTTAAAAATTCATTTTTTCTTTACTCTTTATATATTTTTCATAAAAAATTAAAAATGCATTCCAAAATATTAAATACTTTTATCTCATATTTCAATTAAAAAATTAAAAAGAAAAATACATCAGACCCGACTGGAATGACCCCAGACCCAGTGGGGTCTGATTGGTCAAAAAAAAAAATTTCTTGTCATTTGCAGCACTCCACGTAGACTGAGGGTGCTGGTTCCCAGCACGGTTGAATTAAAAATTACTAGTAATATATTATCAACCCAGACCTAAGTAATCTCGATGTACTTGTAATTTGCCCCTGGAGGTTGGATATGCATAGTAGCAATAAAATACTATACATCAACATCATGAATCATCATCATCACCCATCATTCAATTCTGTCTCACTTTCACATACACACGCGCACACACCCAATCTCCCCTCTCTCTCCCTCTTTCTCTCTCAGTAGCTCGCTCACTCACTGAATTCCACTCACACCCCCACAATCATCTCTGCTTCACTCCAGAGAAGAGACCAAAAATGGCTACTTGTTCCAATTCCCATTTTACCCCTCTCACATTCCTCTATTTCCTTCTCTTCACTTCCACTTGTCCCTCCATTTCATCAGCCCTAAACATCACCAATCTCCTCTCCTCCTACTCCGATCTCTCCTCCTTCTCCAACCTCCTCACCACCACCTCCGTCGCCACCGATCTGACCCACCGCTCCTCCCTCACCCTCCTTGTCGTCCCCAACTCCTTCCTCCACTCCTCCCATTTGGCCCACCACCCCAACCTCCCCGACATCCTCCGCTACCACCTCCTCCTCCAGTACCTCTCCTTGCCGGACCTCCACCAATTACCGCCCACCGGAAAACTCATCACCACCCTCTTCCAAACCACCGGCCGCGCCACTGCAAACTTCGGCTCCGTCAACATCACCCGCAACCCAACCACCCTAATATACAAAATTTTCCATCCGATATCATAGCAGAGAGAATGTGGCATTGATAAGTAGTATTGATAAAAAATAAAATCTTCAGATACTTAGTTTATCCATAAATTATTAGATACCTTTAATATATCACATGTCTATATTTTTTTACCAATTATCATTTATTATGTCTCATCATATTTCTCAATCACCCAACACAAAATCATAATATCTCACTTTTTTCACCAATCACAATACTATATATGACCATATTCCAGGAGTACCCAATAATAATTTTTCATCCTAAAATCCACCTTTAATGATATGTCTAATAAGTATCAAATTTTGATCTATCAAATTATGTGTTTGAAAATAAATTTTAAAATGTATTGAAAATCATAAATTACTTAGATAGTGTTTGGTTCACTAAAATGAATTAGAATGAAATTATCATTTTATCAAAATATTTATTTCCATGTTTGGTTAGAATTTCAAAAATAATGATAATTACATTACAAATAAAATCATCTTTTACCATTCTAAAGAAATGATAATTCCTTAAGAAAGTCTAAAGAATCATCATTCCATCGCATCTCATTCTAGTCAATCAAATAGATGTTCAATTTTTTTTTCTTTTTTTATTAGATTTATTTATTTATTTATTGTTTTAATGACTTTATGCCCTTTTACTATTTTTTAGTCAAAAAGTTAAATTATCAAATTAGGCTTGGCCTTGTTTGGGGAATTTGAATTTTAGTTTATGCTAGGTCTCTTATGTTGCCAATTCCGTGAAAAACACTTTTTTTCATGAAATCTGTAGACTGTTTTTGTCATATACCGCTCAAGCGAAGTGATGGGGCTCGAGCGAAGAATCCTTGGTTCTAGAAGTTTGAACTGTCTGCAAAATTATTGAGAAGATTTAATGTTCGCTTGAGCGAATCTTTTGGTGGTTCAAGCAAAAGCACTTAAGGAAAACACGCGTTTGAGTCACACTGCTCGAGCGACCATTCCATGGCTCGAGTGGTCTTCGCGGCCCTATTTGCTATAAAGTTGCGAACAAGTCTGATTCTAGGGTACGGTTTCCAGATCTTCTTCTTGAGAGTTAAGGTTTTCATCAAGGAGTTTATGTCATGGTTTAAGTGGATTATATTAAAGAGATTGTTTGATCATTCAATACAAAGAGTTTTTTCTTTGGTGGATCCCGAATATTTGAGCGTGAAGGTTTTGAAGGAGTTCGAAGCAGCTTGTGGTCGTGGATTCAACGTGAATGTTGTGGATTTAACATCAAGCTGATCAATTCCGAGATGAAGACGTTGGTGAAAAAGGCATAAGTTGTTGAAGACAATTTTATTGAGTGTTGGGTAAATTGTCTGGTAAACTTGTGTAATTTCATTCTTCATAGTGCATTGATTAGTGACATTTCGCCTGTGACTTTTTAATCACAATTAGAGGTACTCAAATTGTGAGTTTTCTACGTAAAAATCATTTTTGTTGATTTATTAATTGTGAAACAACAATCTAAATCACATTCATACGTGCTAGACGATTTAGATTGTTAGTTTTGATTGTTTGGGAATTGTTGCAATTAAATCTATTACGAATCACAAATCACCTAGGTTTTTCAGTTTAAAAATCAAAGTCATTAAAAATATCAAAAAATTATTAAATTATTCTATTCTCTACTTTTTGCATGTTTTTCTCATAAAAGGTCAAAAAGTCTTCCCAAACATACTAGTTTTTTGAGTAAATTACAAATACACTCTTTAAGATTTGTTTAAAATACGAATTATCCATGTAGTTTGAAAAATTACGAATATCCCTTTGTTAGAATTCTTTATTTAACAAAATTATAAGAAAAAACAAAATTAATAACTACTCTCCTATTCAATAATAAAATGATCTACATTATTAATTGAAATATGTTTTTGACATCATTAAAAATTATTAATTGACTTGATGATTTATTAATAAAAATAGATATTTGTTATGCGATCATAAACTAAGGGGCGTGATATAATTTCCAAAACTTTGGGAGAAAAATCATATTTTAAATAAATCTCAAGAGATGTAATTGTAATTTACCTTAATTTTTTTACCTCATATTTTAACCAAAAACTAAAAATTACTAAAATACGAGATTCTATTTATATCGTAATATGAACCTAATCTTCTTCGAGATATAACCAAACGTACATTTCAAACCATCCAAAATGTTAAAGTCTCTTGAAGCAATGAAAGATATGGTTTTTCTAATAACAATCATACGGATTATTACTAATGCAATTAAGGATAAGGTTTTTCTAATTATTACTAATAAATATAAAATATCAAAATATTTATAATTTAATATATTTTTAGTTATTTTTTAAATATAGGATAAAATATATTTAATAGTTCTTAAAATATGTATTTCTTGTCATTTTGAACTATTAAATTTAAATTGTCAATTTGCTTCTTAAATTTTTTAAATTGAGTCAATTGGTCCAATTCCAAACGGACAGCTTAAATAGTTAATAGAAAGATAATAAAATACATACATGGTCCTTCAAGAATGTATTTTGTATCACTTTAGTTCTTAAATTTTATATTTTGTCAATTTGATCTTGAAACATTGATGGATAAATAAAACATAACCTTACAATATTAAACAAAAAAAATTGACAAAAGCAATATTTTAGAGATCAAAATGATACAAAAAATATATGCTAGGGACCATGGTGGAAATTTATAATTTTTCCATTAACATTGTAAACAACTGCTTGAAATTGAACCAATTTAAATCAAATTGAAAATTTTGAGGACAAAATGAAAAAATTAAAACTTCAAATGAATAAAAAAAAAACACATACTTTAGAGACTAAAATTATATTTTATCCTTTAATTCTTTTATGTATTATTTAACACTAAAAACAATTCTACTATTTATTTTAAACAATTTCCTTTATACCTAGTATGGGTGCTCAGCGGATATTTCGATCCATGCAAACCCACCAAACCGAACCGATTTGTCGCATTTTGGATGGATGCCTGATGATTAGTTGACGGTTGCGGATTGATTTTTTTTCCAATCCACCTAGTTTTAGACGGATGGTGGATTTGAGGTTCCTTTGACCGCAACTAAACCGTCAAATCGTAAACACCCCTAGTAATTTGTAAGACTTTCTGTTTTTAATTTGTTTAGTTATTTTGTTTGTGTTTTCAATTTAAAAAGATTTTAGATATTCTGTTGTGTTTTCAATTTGGAAATCCCCTTATCAAATGACAAGTATTGATATTGGGTATTTTTATATAAGACTTAATTTTGTCATTTAAAAAAAAAATCAAATTAAATAGTTTTTAAATAAAAAAAAGTAATGAAATAGTTTTGATAATACATTGTTTTCTTACTTCGTGAGCACCCCTGCTCGCCCGATCAAAGATCGGCCTCTACTAACCATGATATCTAGTTTTGAAAACGTTATGTGCTCTTATTCCGGTTATTAGCCTAGATTTACTATGTGATGCGCACGGCATACAAATATAGACCGGATCGCCTGAATTGGAACAACACATCTCATGTTTGTTTTGAAAATGGTTTGCTACTCGCAAGTAGGCTAAGACGTGGATTTGCCACCCTCGGGTGGGCTTAGAAAAAAAATGATTTTGCCACTCTCAAGTGGGCTTAAAACTCGCATTTAATGAATTGTTCCAATCCAAATAACCCAACCTTCACCCACAAGCATTTAGGCAGGTATATCACATAAGCAATTAGCCTCATGGTAAGTATGCTATCATGGCAGTCACTCACACACATGCAGGGATGCTAAAACATAAGTACTTACCGAGTACTCCAAGCCAAAACAGAAGCTATGTCAGAAATCCATGCATGATCCTAACTATACAGAAATGCCTAATGCAACACATGCAAAATGCATCTATAGTAGGCTCGGCTATTCTAAGGATGTCATGTGAAATGCTACAACTAACAAGTATTCAATTCGGAATTGAAATACAATGCAGTTAGTATGATGCGCCGAGCCCGGTGCATGCAATACAGATGAATGATGCAAATATGCAAGCATAAGTATGCTAATTGACACATGCCCTAATCTAACCATCATAAGCTGGTAAATAAAAAGGAGAAAGACGTGGGGTTGGAAGACATACATCACACATACGCATACTTATTACAACATTGCCCTCGCTCGGAGGGTCCGAATAAATAATATAGTCCGAATGAATAATTAAACATTACAACACCCTAATTAAATAACAATTTAACTAGGAAAGCAAGTAAATAGCGTGCAAGCTACAAATTGGACTGCCTCAGCTCTTGTTCCGAATGATGGATGATGCATGCTTGAGTTGCCTGGCTCGGAAATCCATTGCGATGCCCCGATTCACCTCTGTTTGCAATTAATCCCGGAATGCTATGCAAAGCTTTAGAAAGCTGCTGATTTCTGATTTGCTGCAACAGAGAGCAAGAAAGGGGCACAACAAAGTATTTTCACATATGTATGCATGACTACTCTTCAGGGAGTGTAGTCCTCGATCCTCGTGCCACCAATCACGCATCTCGATGCATGATGGCCGAGGAGTCGAATTGCATGATTCAACGTAAAATGAATGCACATATAAACATAACAAGGCCTAAACTCCATCATGGGTAATCCGGAGTGTCGGCAACCGGGAATTGAGACACGTTCCGTCACTCGGAGTACGAAGCGTGCCTCGTTTCCCGTGCTTGGGCTAACTCCTATCCCAAACACGATGCAAATGAGATGGCATACACAATGCGATTAACATACAACCTAGCATACGCAATGCTATGAAATGGCATACACAATGCTCGAT